CATTGCCCAATCAGGGGCCTAGGGTCCTCATGAGGAGGAAGTGATCATTCTCTAATGCCATTGTCTTAAGCCCCCATCGGTGTGCTTCCCTCCCAGATTATCAGTTGAGAATCAATATTGTCAGCCATCTTTATATGGTTTTTTTAAGTATTAACTAAACTAGTATAATGAGGACATCTAATATGAAACATTCCCCAATGTCTATGATGGGCTTCCCCCTACATGCACATAGGGTTCAAGGAATAGTGTACTCAGGTGTAGAGAGCACACATGGCCAAGGGGTAACTCACAGCTCCCAGGTGCTAAACATCCTTTCCTACCATTTGTGAGGTACTCGTGATGTAGTTTTTTTGTTGTGCTACCTGCAGTCATAAATCCCAACTTTCCCGAGCACCTGATGCTGACACTGCTGTCTTCAGTAGGGTGAGGTGAGAACAGGGAAGGATGCTAGCACCAGTAGGAATATGGGAACTCCAAAATCCTCAGGACCCTTCAGAGCTCTCAAGATCAGCCTCCAGCAATAGGGGCAGAAGGAGACCTGGTCAAGGACAAAGCCAAGTCTCCTCTCTCCCAGGTAGTGCCCCTCAGGAATGCGCTAGAAAGCCATGCTTGCTCCAGGGTCTGAAATTCAATTCCTTCTCAACTCACTTGATAATTTATAGACAATCCTTGTAGTATAGCCAAGCTTCCTCTGCACATTGTAACAGGATTCTTGAGGAGTACCAAAGGCCTATGAGTGATTAATTGATGGATCGAGGTATGTTCTCAGCTAGTTAGAGTTGTTGTTGTCAAGTTGTTTGGGTTGTGTCCAACTCTCCATGACCCCCTTTGGGGTTTTCTTGGCAAAGATACTACAGTGGTTTGCCATTTCCTACTCTGGTTCATTTTACATATGAGGAAACTGAGGCAAATAGGGTTAAGTTTTCCCAGGGTCACACATATCAGACACAGTAAGTGTCTGATGCCAGATTTTAACCCAGTTCTTCCTGACCTAAAGTCCAGTGTTCCATCCACTGTGCCATCTACTTAGGGTATCACAGCTAAAATGGGGTCAGATGGTTTCATCCCAATCCTTACAGGAAAACTCAAGAGAGGAGAGAGTGTACAGAAGGAGAAGGTGATCAGCAGTGCTTAATGCTGTACAGAGGTTAAGAAGGATGAGGAAAAAACAAAGGTTTTGGCAACGGGTTGATGATCGGATAACTTTAGAGAGAGCAGTTTCAGTTCAGTGATGAGGTTGAAAGCCAGATTGTAGGAGGTTTAGGAGAGGAAGTGGAGGCAGGCAGGCACTGGGTGTTGGCAGCAGGATAATAATACCTTTAATTTGTGCTTCACAGGATGGTTGTGAGATCAAAGGAGATAATTTATGTAAAACATTTTGCAAGGCTTGAAGTGCTATAAAAATGTCAGCTCTCATTATTGTCCCAGGATTACATGAGTAGTAAATAACACAAGTAGGATTTGAATCTGTATCTTTTGACTCCCAAGTCCAAAGACCTCCCTATTGTGCCACATTTCACATGCTGCCCAGAAAAAATCCTGCCTTTGTGGGAGCAAACAGTATGCTTTGCAGAAACATCCCCATTCCCACCCCCTACCCACCCCCATAAGCTTCCCAGCCCCGTTTATTTTTGGTGGTAGCAAACAGGTGGCCGTGTGGGCTGGAGCTGGGTTGTCTCAGAGCTGGGCCTGATGGCACTGCAGAGAGATCTGAGGGTTTCTTAGGCATTTTACATTCAAAATTGTCGGGGGGCGGGTTTAAGGGCTAGGACCTGCAACCTTCAAGGATGAAAGACTGGGGTAACTCTTGGGGAGGGGTATTTGTGTGATAGCTACAGATAGAGGCCCATAGAGTGAGCAATCAAAGGTAGGGACATTGGGGTTGGGGGTAACATAGGCAGAAAGCTTGGGGATGGAGGAGGCACAGGCAAAGACCCTGAGGATTTAGGGCTTATAGATAGACCTTGGGGATGGATGGAGGACAGACAGAATCCCCAGGGCAAGAGGTAGGAGCATGCAGCTCGCTAGAGTCAATTGTTAAACCTTCAGTGTGAGGATTTACATGTCAGAAATAAGGAAATGCTGCAAATCAGGGCTTGATTTATTTGTTTCGTTGATTGCCCAGACTTAAGAGAATGATGGAGAGAATGGTAATATGCACATTAGACTTAAACACACGTTCTGTGCAATTTTTTTTTTGAAGAGCCAGTTGTTAAAAACATTTACAAACATATCCCTGGATAGACATAGATCATGTGCAGGGAACTTGGGACAAGAGAAGGTATAGGCAGAGATGTGAGGGATGCAAATGCTAAAACAAGGGACCCTGGGTCTGGTAGGTAGCATAGGAAGAGGCTTGAAATGGGTAAAGCACAAACAGAGACATTGGGAAGGGAGGGAGAAGATGGTGAAAGGGAAGCCACAGACAAGTACCTTGGGAATAGAGGGACTAGAAGCAACCCAATCCAGTAAGCATTTATTGAAGACCAACTGTGTTCAAAGCACTGTGCAATAAAAAGACAAAAAGGAAAATAATTCTTCCCCTCAAGGAGCTAACATTTGAAAAGAGGGAGGGTTTAATATGTAAATACATACACATATATGATAATTTGAGGAGTGACCACTAACACTTATGGGGATTGGGAAAGGCTTCCCATAGAAAATTATACTTGGGCTGAGAAACTAGGGATTGTAAGAGGCAGAGGGAAAGAAGGAGGTGCATTTCAGGCATGACAGACAGTCTGTGCATAGACTTAGAGGTAAAATATGGAATGTCAAACTTGGGAAACAACAAGGAGGCTGGTTAGGCAGGAATGTAGACAGTGTGAAGGGTAGTAATATGTAATAATCCTGGAATGATAGGCTGGCATCAGATTTTGAAGGGCTTTAAATGTCCAACAAACAGGGGAATTTGTTTTTTTGCGCTAGAGGCAATAGGGAGCCACTAAAGTTTCTTGAGCAGGGGAGTGACATGGTCAGATTTATGTTTCAAGGAAATTAATTTGGCAGTTGTATGGAGAGTAGAGTGAACAATTTTCAATTAATAATCATTTATTTTCTCTTCTTCCTGCCTCCTCCCCCAAACTGGAAAAATAAAATAAAATATTTTTAACAAATACGTATGGTCAAGCAAAAAAAAAAAACAAACAAAACCAACAAAACTCCTATGTTTGTCCAAAAATGTATATCTCATTCTGTATCTTGAGTCTATCACCATCCTGTCAGGAGAAGTGGGTAGCATGCATCATCATGGGTCCTTTGGAATCATGGTTGGTCACTGATCAAAGATCTGAAGTCTTTCAAAATTGTTTATCTTTACAATGTTATTGTTAATGTATATACTGTTGTCCTGTTTCATTGAGATTACATAACAAATCTTCGATGAACCCAGTTATCACAATTGTGTGACTTCCTCCAGAGGTGCTCAGTAGCACTTGAATTGGAGAGAAGACAAACAGGGCATGTGGGGGGGGGAGGGGAAGGATTGGGGTAGAAAAACTCCAAGATTGGAGTTTGAGAAAGAATGATAATAGGGCAAGGTATTCAAGAGTTGAGGACAACATATAGATCATAGGATTATAGTGTAACAATAGTGACCTCTTCTAGGTCCAAGGCTGCAGTGCTGTTCCCTCTCCCATTCCACTAAGGGACGCCACTGCTCTGGACCTATGAACATATCAGCAAAGTTCAGTCCCAAAGGGGCTAGCCTCTAATAAGAGGTGTTAGGCTCTTTTTCTTATACTTTTTGATTCTTTGCACCCTCTACCTTAGAGCTCTGGGGGGAAATTACTTAAAGCATAGATTTGGCTCATGCCCAGGGCCTTCCCACATCAGGTAGTAGAACGGTACTCAATATATACTCTAGATTAGGTATAGGACTGTTATTAATTCCTCCAAACAAAGGAAATGCTAAAAACAAAAGATTCACAAATATGCAGTGATAGAAAAGTGTCAAGAGGCAGCAACAATCACTTAATTACGGTTATACTCTCCTGGGAGGTTGATGCTTAAAGCATCAAGACATAATGTAGTTTACAGAATTATTGAATATTCATTTTGCATTTCACTTTGGTTCTGCACTGTTCAAACAATTTCCTCTCGATTAAAAGCTAGGCTAAGAGTTGAGCTCCTTTCTCAGTTAGCAATGATCCTTTCCAATACAGGAACTCTCATTGCTGCCAGTCAGCTCCAAGTGAGGGACTTTAGATCTCCAACCTCTCAAACTCAAAAGATTTCCTCCAAGACGTGATGTATCCATCTCAGGATCACTTTTTAGTCACTTATGCTCTGGGAAGAAAATACAAAGTTGGAAAGGTAGCCAGGGTTATGAGATCCAGTCTCAGGATGGCCTAAATCAAGAGTAGGGAACATGCAGCCTTGAGGGCACATGTGGCCTTCTGAGTCCTTGGATGTGGCCTTTTGACTGAGTCCAAGTTTTACAGAACAAATCCTTTCATTAAGGGGATTGGTTCTGTGAAGTTTGGATTAGGTCAAAGGGCCACACTTGAGGACCTAGAGGGCCACATGTGGCCTCAAGGCCACAGGTTCCCCACCCCTGGCTAAACTATCACAGGTATTCTAGTTGCCATTCATTTTCAGTTTGCCATTTTTGCTAGCGTGTGGAAAAGGATGAGCTTTCCCTCCCTTCCCTTTTTGAAGAATTCAGAGAGAGAAAACTATTTGCCTTATATTCCAAAGACAGGAGGGAAGAGGAGGCATCAGCTGTTATCTCTATTTTGTAAACTGATTCAGCCTTTACCTCACATCCATCACAGGGCTAAAAGATCAATAAGATGATTTCTTTTACATTCCATAATGCTAGAGTCCTTCAACACTGAACCAGAGTACCTGGTCTGCTGAAAGTAGTGGGGGTATTCTGCACTTCATGGAATGTGGTTCCTGTTACAAAAGGATCATAGACTATGAAGGGAGGAAAATGAGGTCATAGTAGGCATGAGAGAAGGGTGGGGTGGAGTGCTTGGAGGCAGAAACCCTGGAGATGGAGAGGTGATATGCAGAGATCTTGGTGATGGGGTATAACACATCCCCTAGGGATGGAGGAGTCATAGGAAGAGGCCCCGGGGTCACTGTTAGGCTCGAGGTGAACAAATTGCTTCCCAGTTCCTCCCACATTACCTAGCCACAGATTGCAAGACCTCAAAGCTGAATTATCTCATCCCTGTCCTGATGCAACCTACAAACAAAGAAACCCCAGTCAATCCAGGGACCTGTGGTGAGAAGCTTTTTTTGTTGTTCAGTCATTTTCAGTCATGTCTGACTCTTTGTGACCTCATTTGGGGTTTTCTTGGCAAAGATTCTGCAGTGGTTAACCATTTCCTTCTCCAGATCATTTTACAGATGAGGAAACTAAAGCAAACAGGGTTAAGTGACTTGCCCAGGATCACATAACTAATAAGTGCCTGAGGCCAGATTTGAACTCAGGAAGACGACCCTTGACCACTCTAGGCTTAGCACACCTTCCACTGTACCACCTAACTGTGATAAAACCTAGGGGCACTTTAAACTTCTCCCTGGGCAGCACTGTCGAGAACACAGGGAAGGAGAAGGTACTGCTACAGAAAGGACAGTACTATCTGCACATATGTTTCCTCTTTCTATTTTTCGGTTGTATTTTTAGCTCCTTTTCTTCTTGGTTTTCACTCAGCTGGCCAACAGTGTGCCTCTGGGTATTTTTCAGGTCAGCTCTTTATCATCTCTCTATTCCCTTTCTCTTCTAGAATATCCACATTACCATTCTTTGTTTTCAAACTAGGTTTATTTTCCAGTGGTGAAATTATTGACTTGGAAGAATCACAGGATCATAGGGTCATCGATTCAGAGCTAGAAGGGACCTCAGAAGTCATCTAAGTCTAACATCTCCTCAATTTGCAGATGAAAAAGCTGAGATCCAAAAAGATTAAGTGACTCTCTTTCATTTTAAAAAATGCTTTATTGATGACTTTTTCACGTTGCTGTCACTTTTCAATGACCTCCCCTTCTCCCAATAAAATCCTCCCTTATGACATAGAAGTATAGTTAAGCAAAATAAGCCAGTGTATTGGCCATGACTGATGTGTGTCTCACTAGGCACCTTTAGGCCACCACCTCTCTGCCTAGAGGAGGGAGGTAGATTTTGTCCTTGATCCTCCGAAGTCAAGTTTGGGCATTGTGTTGCTCAGAGTTCTGATGTATTTTCAATATTGTTGTCCTTTACATGACTGAGGTTACTGTGTAAATTGATCTCTTGGTTCTGCTTACAAAAAAAAAATAAATGAATGTTTTCTTTCTTTATCTATTTATGTACATATTCATTAATTCATTCACTTGGTTGTTTATTGCTTAAAGTAACTTTCCCCACATATCTTGTTAGCCGGTTGGTTTCACAGAACCCAGGTCTCCTGTCTTACAGTTCATTGCTTTCTAGTTGCTAGTGTTCCTTCCCTCCTCAAATTAGCACCTTTAACTAAAAGGAAGTCATACTACGAGTAAGTGTAAAAACCAATATTGGTCCCAGAAAAGAGATGATGAAACATACTTCCCTTCTTTTGGCAGAGAAGCAAGAGATTATGGGGACATCATGTTGAATGCATTGTCAGACACAGTATTTTAGTTGCTTTTGCTTAACTGTTTTTCTTTCTTATAAAGGAGAGTTCAGTTCTAGGGTGGATGGGGTATATGTCATCCAGAAATTACTGTGAAATGAAAATAAAAATCATCCATATAACCCATTTTAAATGTATCATGCATATGCTTATCTCTTTTCAGGTTGTATCCTTCTACCTTCCAATTGAAAGTAAGCTCCCTGCAGATAGAGATACATATTGTTTTTTGTCTTTGTATCTTCAGGGTCTATAGTACACGGCCTTGCACATAGAAGGTGTTTAATAAATGCTTGTTGGTTTGTATTGGAAATATGAAATTTAGGCAATGGTGTCATTAGATGAATTGATTGTTAGAGTTGGCTTTTTGCCACAATCTTGTAGTCTGAACCCACTTAGCTTGCTTCTTGTTTGAAGCTAATGGATTTTTTATCCTGAGGGGGTTGGGTAGGAGGGATGCTGGATGCTGTTTGTCTTCCTGGCTTCTACCACTCTTTTGCCACATCCTGCCTGGCACTTAGTGCCCTCTCCTGGATGATTATTCCAAGGTAAACTATTTAAAGCTACTGCAATTCAATTCAATTCAATAACCTTCTAGAAACAATCCTTGTTTAAGCCAATCAATTAATCAATTCAACATTTACTGAGATCTGATATGAAAATGAATAGTAACTTGGTCCCCAATTGATAATGTAGTCAGCCCACATTAGGTCCTCATGGTGCTTGCTGATTGATTTTTAGACTCCCATTCCCACCCCGTGGCTATTTGTGTGACCTCTGATGAGTCACTCTCCTCCTGGCTCTCAGTTTCTTCATATGTCAAATGAAAGAATTAGACTACAGGATCTCTTAACATTCTATGTTCTGACATTCTGCTCTATGGTCCTTTCTATCTCTAAAATTCTAGGTATTAGATCTTCTGAATTTAACTTTCTATATTTTAAGGTTCTTTTCAGTTCTCACACTTTATTTCCTATAAGGTCTCCCCCATCTCTATCATATTACGTGTTATGCTCTAGCATACCATAGTTCAAGATCACCTTATAGCACTAAGAAAATGCATGTAAAAGAGATAATGCATGAAAACCTTCTTATGGTCATACTTCTTTTTATAATACTTCAAGACAGCCTTGATTTCATATCTTTATTGATGGAGATCGCAACTTCCTCATGATTTTGAGATGGTCTTCATGAGTTGAAATGGCCCCAAACCCATCATCATGTGGGACCAACATGGTATGGAACCAGGCTGATTCTCTACCACAAAGAGTACTTCCCTGGGCAGATACTTTATAGTTTGTCAGGAACTGTGCTCTTGTAGACATAGCCTTTGAGAAACCATTTTTACCTTCTTGCAATAATGAAGCATTCGGGAAGTATTTTAACGGAGGTGTATAACTTTTACAAAGTTATACAAATGGAAGATGATTTCATTTCTATGCATATATATGCCTTAGAACCAGTCTTAATATGTCTCCTTGTTTATGACTCTGGAAGTTGCATTGAGTACTATACATAGAAAAAATATGAAAGGTTGAATGACTTTAGTAGTTGACTTTGTTTTATGTTTTAAGCTAAAATTTCAAGGTTCATGGGCTAGTGAATAGATTGAACAGATTCAAGTACCTGTTTTAAGTTTAAGTGACTGTGAACATTAAGTCTGGAGAAGAAAAGGCTTATGGGGTGATATGTTGACAATCCTCACATATTTGGCAGTTTGTTATATGGAATAATGGACCTGGAGGATAAAAGGAGCAAATAAGGGTAATTCTAAGAAGATAGATTTGGGGGATATATACAAATACACACACACACCCTCAGCAAAAGGAAAACTTTTCTTTTTAAATTTCAGTTTCATTTCTTTTTCTTTTTTTATATTTATTTTTAGTTTTCAACATTCACTTTTATAAGATTTTGAGCTCCAAAATTTCCCCCCTCCCCTTTCCTCCCCAAGACAGCATGCAGTCTGATAATCTAATGTAGGCTACACATGTACAATCATATTAAACATACTTCCATATTAGTCAGGTTGTGAAAGAAGAATCAGAACTAAAGGGAAAAAACACTAGAAAGAAAAAAAAAAGAGAGAGAGAAAATAGCATGCCTCAATCTGCATTCAGACTCCATAGTTCTTTCCCTGGATGTGGATAGCATTTTCCATCATGAGTCTTTTGGAATTGTCTTAGAGCATTGTGTTTCTGAGAACAGCTAAATCTATCAAAGTTGATCCTCACACAATGTGGCTGTTACTATGTACAACGTTCTCCTGGTTCTGCTCACTTCACTCAGCATCAGTTCATGTAAGGAAAACTTTCCTAACAATTCTGCTATTAGCAATGTGGTAGAGCAGCTTTGAAGACAGTGGGCTTTCTATCACTCAACATTTTCAAGTGGAGGATGGATGGATGATCACTTGTCAGAAATTCTGTAGAGGAGATTCAGGCACTCAGTGAGAAGTTGTACTGGATGACATCTGAGGTTCCTCCCAGTTCCACAATTCTAGGATTTCTGCCTCTCTGCCTTTGCTCATGTCTTCTCAAATATATTTCCCTCTGTATTCTACCTACCCAAATCTTGTTTCATCCTTAAAGATTCAATTCAAATTTCCCCTCTCCTAGGAAGCCTTCCCTGACTTCTCTAGCTTTTTACTAGTCTCCACACCCTCCAAACTCCTATAGTACTTACAATCACACAAGTTAGCATGTAACTATCTTCTATTTTGTGTTATTAGACCCATGCTTTAGGAAGATTACTTTGGAATCTGTGTTGAGGAGGAGTGAAGAGGGTGGGAAGAAGTTGGAAGTGGGGAGACCATCACCAATTACAAATTAATTGCAATAGTATAGGTGGGTGAGAGTGGTACATGTGTGAGTTTAGAGGAGACAGATACAAGAGATGTTGCATACGTAGAACTGATTGTACTTGGCAACTAATTGGATATGGAGAATGAGGGAGAGGAAATAATGAAGAACCACTCTGAGCTTGCACACTTGCATTACTGGAAGCCTGACTGTGCCCTCAGCAGAAACAGGGAAGGTAGGAGGAAGGTTTGGTCATCCAAATGGAGATGTCAAGTAGGCAATTGTTAATGTAAGCCCAGAGTTCAGGAAAGAGATGAGGGCTGGATAAGAAGATTTGGGAGTCCTCTGAAAAGAGATAATAATTGAATTCATGGGAGCTGGTAAGGTAATCAAAGAAAGGTAGGGACCCAAGACAGGGCTTTGGGGTACACACATGCTTGGGTGATAGCAAATGAATGATAATTTCACAAAGAAAACTGAGTAGTTGGACAGATAGGACAAGATCTAGGAAAGAGCAGTGTCATAAAGGCTGAGAGAGAGATCATTTTCTTTGTTGCCCCCACATATCCAATCATTTGCTAGATCTTGTCATTTCTTCCTTTACAACATCTCTAACATATGTTCCTTTTTCTTTGCTTTCACAGTAATTGTTCTGGTTCAGACACTTATCCTCTCTTACCTGGGCTTTTGCAATGGCCTTCTAATTGATCTTGCCTCAAGTCTTTTCCACACTAGGATGCATCCTCTACTCAGTTGTTGAAGGTAAAGCACAGGTCTGAACATATAACCTCTCTCCTCAAATGACTCCCTATTACCTCTGGGATGCTAAGTTC